GGACTAGTTGGAGTTTCCAAACAGTCCAAAGGCAACCCCATGAAGAATGCGTTGCAGTAATCTATTCGGGATGAAACAAGAGTGTGGACCACCGCGACCAGATCAGACTTCCCGTTCTCTCCCTATTTCAGTTTTTCAAGACAATGCAGAGCCTTTTCCAAATCTTTATAGTTTAACATCAAAACTTTTGAAACCATAAGCTGTATTCTGAAGTGTGATTACTTTCTGAAGCACAGATTTCTTACAATGTATTTTTTAAAAAATAGTTTCCTGTTGGTATTAAGAATAATGAAAGAGAGAGCACTATGGCAACTCCTTTAAATGTAGTTGTCAAACTGCAGTAGAAGTGCCAGGAAGTGTTGATTTGACAACTCAGACTGCCTATTAATTTGGAATCGCTAATCCTCTGAATTCCAAAGGGCTTTTGAACACATTAAGCATATTTTCTTCGTTTGGTACTTAGGGACGGGGGGAGAGGGGGTTAGAGACAATAATGTCTCAATTATTTAGGGCTCCATGTTACAATGGTCCATTTTTTTTTACTCTCCTCTTTGCTGTATTTATTTCCTTTTTGTGGGAACAGCACTGATGTTTCCAGAACATTATGTGAAAGGATCATTTTCTTCCGACGCATAGGGGCCTTTCCACTGTGTTAGAATGACAGGCTTTTTTGCAGCCCATGTCTGTGCTGTGAAAAACAAGTTACCAAGAACTGAGGAGAGGCACAATCTGCCAAATATTGCTACTTTGGATCATACATAGGATTCGGAGAATGTAAACCACTTCTATAAGAAACAGAGTTGAAAAGATGAGCTCAGATGTTCCTCTGTGTCTGAAAAAGAGGTTTACGGGCAATTGGCACTGACACAAGTTAGGATATTGGCTCTTTTCATGAAGTATCATTATTGGCTTTCAATTGAAGATATAGAGAAAAAATATTTTAATAGGTTTGTGGTGTCATGTTAGAATGTCGGATCAGGACACCGCAAGTCCAACGTTCAAATTTTCTCTTAACCATGGCAAGTAACACTTTCTCAGCTTCAGAGAAAGGCAATATCAAACCTCTTCTGAACAAATTATGCCAAGAAAATCCCACATTAACTTTTCCTTAGGATGCATCTACATCAGTGGTTCCCATCCTGTGGTCCGTGGAAACACCAGTGGTCTGCAAGAGCTAAAATATGGTCTGCAGCCTCACTGTTACTACACAGTTGCGACGAGAGCGACTAGTCTCGGAAAACACTTTTATAGTGCCGAGGCTTATTAAATATGACTTTCTGTGGGCGAGGAGATTGTGACTACTGGGTGGCATATGTTCTGTATCAGAAACTAGAGCTGATGTTGTCTATCCAATGCAGCATCCCACATAATCAAACTGAATCTGAAGTTGACCAAAAACTGATTCATAATCTTTTTGGTACTAACTTTGGAGAGTGGTCCCTGGTCAAGTAGTCTTTGGTCAATAGACACAAGTGAGAGATGGAATAGGCAAGGTTAAGAACACTAAGAAAATAATATTTGATATGTATTTTGAAATAGTGATGGATTGTGATATTATTCCATCTGTGTCTGCAATAAAAACATATATTGGAAAAAAAGTGATATTGGTCAAAGTGGTCCCTGTTCAAAAATAAAAAAGTTGGGAACCACTGATCTACACTGTAGAATTAATGCAGTTTACTTTCCCTGGTTCAGTGCCCTGGAATCATGGGAGTTGTGTTAAGTGCAATAACATATGACATGACAGTACAATAACGTATATTGCTTTAAATGCCTATTTATGTTTTATCTTGATTGCTTACAATATTTTATATTTATACGTTTGACTGTTGTTTGATTTTGTATTATATTCTTAACATGTTGGAAGCTGCTTTGGGTCCCCACTGTGGGAGAAAAGTGGCATATAAAGAAAGATGTATTATTATTATTATTATTATTATTATTATTATTATTATTATTATTATTTTACTGACACAAAAACGCAGTATGTCACAGGAAATGAAACCTATAAGCTGGATTTCATATCACAAAATCACAAGTCGAACACTTCCCAAGTGTCTAGGACTGTGTGATGTATTTATTATTATTAATAATAATCACAGTCTTTAGCTTTCTCTTTCTCTCACCAAATTACAACTCCCATAGACACATGGACTTTGCATTGTACTTCTCACATGTCATTGTTATAAGGAGCCATCTGTATTCATAGCAAATCTGTTCCAATTCTGAAGAACTTACACTGCTTTTTTGTCTTTGTTTGATGGGTTAATACTTCTACTTGGTTCTGATACTTGGTTCTGATGCACAAAGTGAAACTGTACTGGTGGGGAAGATGTCGTGAGACTACTAGTAATATAACAGTTCCTATACTGGTAGGACACTGTCAATGAAAAAGAAAAACTGGAACAGGTGTTCGTGTTGAATTAAGATGGATAAAGTTGCTTGCTGCTGAATTTATTCAGTTCTCCGTGTGCTGTCACGCACTTGGGCCTGTGAAAAGGTCTGTAGACAGGATGTGCTCTGCATGCCCAATGGGACGCCAGGGATGCTTCGGATTAGAAGCCCTATAGATTTCCCTAAACAAAGTCTTTAGAAACTTGGAAAGTTTAACAAAGTTCTTTATTAGTGCTTAGGTCTACAATAAATCAAACAAATACTTCAAGGCTTTGAATCAACTGGTGGCTTTCTTAATCTTGCCCACAAGGGACAGGCAACTATCTTCATGAACTGTTTCTTCTCTATCAGGGAAATCCTTGACCTCTACCTGGGCAATCTGTCTTAGGCTCTGCTGGCGTGGGCCCCTACACCCGGTCCAAATTGCGTTATGGCTGCCGCRAGTGGTCCTTACCAAACAGAGTCCTTTTRTRGATTTCCAAGAGGAMAGAAGGTCTTCAATTCCCAGCGAAGGCTGGCTGTAAAGCTGTGGGACTGGATYCYCCCAGCAAAAGAGCTRTRSTTCTCTGTAGAGCTGTGGGAYTRAATTCCCCCAGCAAAARCTGTAAAAGAYGAAGCTTTCTACAGGTGGAACTGACTCACRYCCTGTACRAAAGGCTTCTCTGTGWGAACTGAACTAGAGGTCCCCTTTTTCCCTCCTAAACCCAGAAAAAGGGGAGGAAYTAAAGAACCTAATGATGATTGATGGGTCATTGGCCCTATAATTGCAAACCAAGGGAAGCCACCTTATTGCAAAATGCATTGAACATTGAAATACATGCAAACACTCAAAGAAAGAAAAAGAATTGGAGCTCCTGGTACAGCCATACCAGAACACTCCGTGTGCTTCATTGTTATTATTTGTCATCAAGGTACTATTAAGTTATGGTGATTTCCAACACAGTTCTTACAAACTGAGGGTTGTGCCTTTTTATTGCACCAGTCCATTAGGAATGTGGTTTTCCTCTCTTCCTGCCAGGCATTAATATCTTTGCCCAGTGAGTCATGATATGTCCAAAATATGTTAGCCTCAGATTGGTCATTTCGCCTTCTAGGTTCATGATATTTGTTTTTTTTGGCAGGCATTAATATGCATAAAACTTTCTTCCAGCACCACATTTCACATGAGCTAATGTCCTTCCTGTTAGCTTTCTTCTCTGTTCATTTTTTTGCATCCATACATAGATTCAAAAGTACTATAATCTGGATTATTCTGATTTTAGTATTTCTGCTGCCCTTATATCTTTTTATTTGATATTTCCTGTGACAATATAACATTCTCTTAGCAAAAGACATCATCTACGAAAATACCTGATAAATGAAGACAGACAACTGTCATTTTCTGCCCGACAGCCAATGGAACACATGATTTTAATCAATGACACAGTGATTAAATGCAGAACATATATTGAGATGTGTGGAATGGAGATGCAACTTTGAGCATTTGCAGAATTGTAAACATTTTTTATTCTTTTTTGTAAAAAAACTTAATTGCACTGAAGTAAAAAGCTCATATTTGTTATAGTAACACTAATAGGTAAAACCGATTCATTTTATTAGTTTTTACCATTAATAATCACATTTAAAAGAAACCTTATAGGCAGTCTTCCCATCATTGCTCTTGTCCTAAGTGGAATCTTTTGCATGGTTCTGTTCCATGCAAAACTTGCCTACTTTGCAACTACCGTTCTTGTTTCCTGCAATTCCCTTCCTGCCAGGCTTCAAATAAAAACTTAGCTTGCATTAAAATGTTTCCAGGCTTTAAATAGTTCTTTATTTCTGGGATGTAAGGATTGGAAAATATCAAAACTATGAGCCAAATGCATGATAAAAGTAACAAGTTGAAGAGAGATGTTGACAAGCTGGAATGCGTACAGAGGAGGGCAACTAAAATGATCAAGGGTCTGGAGAACAAGCCCTATGAGGAGCGGCTTAAAGAGCTGGACATGTTTAACCTTCAGAAGAGAAGGGATAGAGGAGACATGATGACAGCCATGTATAAATATGTGAGGGGAAGTAATAGGGAAGAGGGAGCAAGCTTGTTTTCTGCTATCCTGGAGACTAGGATGTGGAACAATGGCTTCAAATTACAGGAAAGGAGATTCCACTTGAACATTAGAAAGAATTTCCTAACAGTGAGAGCTGTTCAGCAGTGGAACTGCTCCGGAGTGTGGTGGAGGCTTCTTCTCGGGAGCTTTTAAACAGAGGCTGAAGGGCCATCTGCCGGGAGTGCTTTGAATGAGATTTTCCTGCTTCTTGGCAGAATGGGGTTGGACTGAATGTCACTTGAAGTCTCTTCCAACTTTATGATCCTTTGATTCTAAATGCCAAAACGTGCTAATAAGATTGTTGATGATGGACAACTACAATGAAAAGGAGCCTTTCTAAATAGAGACAAACTCTTTACAATTAGTAGCTTACATTGAAAGAATGGATTCTTAGTGATTGTCTTACCAGAAACGTTACAGATGCACTGCCGAAGGACTCCAGATGCAAATATGAGAAGAACTCTACTCGAGTACAATTGGACACCCAAACAGGTAAGCAAGAGAGTTTCTTCCTCTATCTCCCATGCAACTTGCCATGGTTGCAATATTTCCCTCCTATTCTTTTGCCCTGTAATAGTTAACCATGTAGTAGTTTTACAGGACTCTTGTTTTTTTCAATAAATTCACGTGTGAGTCTCTTTCACAAGCCAACTTAAGACACTAGGTGCTGTGCAGACAGCACACTGGGGTTATTAAGTACAACCCAGGGAAATCCCCACCATTTATTGGAGAAGTCTATGCGAGACACACAGCCACTTTTGTTGTTCAACACTGAGCATTCTGTTCTCCCTACGAAATCCAGTTCCCAACTACCTGTGAGTCATTCTTTCTTGCAGGAAGAGCGCCAAACGTTTGAAAGGAAAAGCAAACAGCATTCACTGCAAAACTGAACATTGGAAAAGTGAGTATTACCTGAGTGAATTTCCAAATGCTGGCATACAGTCAACTTGCATTTCCTTCCTTCCTTCCTTCCTTCCTTCCTTCCTTCCTTCCTTCCTTCCTTCCTTCCTTCCTTCCTTCCTTCCTTCCTTCCTTCTCTAGCAATAAAGATATTAGGAATATTTAAGAAAATAGGGATGATGCGTGAAGCATAGGAGGAGATGTTGCTGTTAACCATCTTTCATGAGTATGTATTTGCCAGTCATAAGTGAATATCCATTTACAATACTTGTCTGTTTTAATTTCTGCTTGTTCTTTATGGCTCCCCTTATGTTTGTCTTGTCTCTCCACAGGCAACCAGGTAGCCACTCAACATTCACATTACTGTCACAAGATCTACAGAGACAAATAGACAAGGAAGCAACAGTTAGTGGGGAATTGTTCATGGCAAACAGCAATGCAGAAAGTTCAGTAGTACCCAACAATGCAATGAGCTAGAGAGAAATTGTGCTTTCTGCTCTGATGTTTGCTAAATCACTCAAATATGCACAAGAGTCTTATAAGAATTGTCTTTGTCTTGTTGTGATGTTCCTGTGATGTTCATCAGCTTTAAAACTGTTCAATAAAATGGTGCCTTGTGTTGGATGTCTTTCTGTTTGGCTCATTATTAGTCAATGCCTTCATTGGGGGGATTCACACTGGGAGGTGTCTGACCCTCCTGCGTTGAAGCATTCTGTGAATTTGAGGGCTGTTGCAATGTCCTCCTTTCCGTGTCCAAATGTCTCCTTTTTCTTTATCCTTAGAAAATACTTGTTGCCGTTATGCTTGCAGCAATACATACCTTTATCCATGTTTGTTTGTGCGTTATGAAAATTATCAGCATTTTGATACTGCAATAGGATTTGAACTCATTTCATAGTTTCAACCAATCATCATTTATATGTAGCTTTAAAAATGCAATTCTGGATGAAAGATCTTACACTTTCTGTGAATTGCAGAGATTCTACAAAATACTCTTTATCATTTGTATTCTTCATCTGCCCAATAGAAAACTTCTATTCAAAGTTGTGAAAGAGCATGTGGGGTAGTGGTTTTAGTGTTGGACTAGGGACTAAGGGAGACCAGACCTGATTGGCCATAGGAACCATCTGGATGACCTTGGAGAACTCATATTTTCCCAGTCTTAGAAGAAGATAGTGACAAGACTCCTCTGAATAAATATTGCCAAGAAAATGCTATGATAAATTCACCATAACAAGTCTACTTGTTTTGGGAAACTAGAATCTCCATAACCTTTTGAAGAAAAATAGCATTCCCCACCATTTGAAAATCACAACCTTTTAAAAAAGTATGATCTTCCAGAGAAGAGCAAAAAACCCCCAAAAAACCTTGTTTGAATAAAATGTTCTCATTAGTGGTATATATCCACATGTACTTGGTTTTCAGTTGTTAGACTGATAACTTGGTTGTCTCAGTTAGGAATAGAGATTATGCCAATGTACAGAGCATAGCAGGTCTCCAGAAGTGGTTTTTTTTTCCAGTGCCCAAAAACATCTACTTTCCCATAAAACATCTTGTTTCTATATCATGCTCTCAAGAGACAAAAATAGACTTCATTAAAAGTAACATATTTGGTTTACTCACAACCTTCATTTATTCAGCATACAGAAACATATCTTGTCAATCCAAATATAGATAGGTTTAAAGTAGTTTCTCTGTACAGATAACACAGGGAATCTTTCTTGCAATAAATAGCAACATGAGTTTGCTCTTGACAGTCCAAGTCTAAGCAGATAACAGTCTAGGGCCCCTTCCACACAGCTGAATAAAATCCCAAATTTTCTGCTTTGAACTGCAGTATATGACAATGTGAACTCAAATAACCCAGTTCAAAGCAGATATTGTGGGATTTTCTGCCTTGATATTCTGGGTTATATGACTGTGTGGAAGGGCTTTGAGAGTCTAATGAAGTCAGAGATCAGAGCAGTCAGATCTGATCATGTGGTCTGCAGCCCCTCCCACAACCTCAAGAAACATAGAGTAAAGGGAAAGCTGCTTACCAAAACATAGATACATGATACAGTATGCAAACAGTATCATACACAAACAAATTACTAGTGGAGGCTTGAAGAAGGTTACTATTTTCAACAACTTGAAAACACACAACAGTGGAAAGTTGAACACTGTGAGAACTCCATTTTGGAAACATTCTGTGCATGCTCAGTTTGGTTACTAACTATGGGCTAGGATATATTTCAAATGGTGAAAAATGATTTAGATTGTATAAAAGAGGGTCAGACTGCCAATGAATTAAAAAAAGGGATTGGCTTCTACATTTGAACACTTTTTAACCCATTTTCAATTAAATAAATACTCAGATGCATACAGTTTAATCAATTAGACCAAATGAACATATAATTAAGAAAGAACAGATTCATTTTATTCTTTGTATTTGCCTTGTTTCCATCTGAAATTATTCCTTATACAGTAAATAGAACACATTTTTTTCATTTAACCAAATTACATCTTTTTCACCATAATTGATTTCTTGTAGTTACAAAAATGTGGTAAAATTAAAATAGGAAGAAACCTGACACCTATCGTCCATTTTTGCTTCTTTTTGCTTTTTAAAAAAATGTGCAATACTATTAATAATAAAACATAAATGCTGTTATTTTGTTTTTAATGAAGGGAAAGGAAGCCCCATTGAACTCAGCAAGACTTTTTGTGTGGAGAATTTCTCCATAAATCCTAAGATTGAAGGAAAGGTAGAGTTTCAGAGTTCTTAACTGGGAGCAGGAAGTTTTCATTATGTTTTGGTACAATGGATCATTTATTGGAAACTGCTCTTCTGTAGTATGAAGCATCTCTTCATGTCATGCTCTCTGAATAAATGTCTCTTGAGGATGGGAACACAATAACGGTGTCACAGGCAGGCTCAATGAGGATATAAATAGCTTTCTTCTAGACATCATTAAGTTGCACGCAGCTGCAGTGGGTGTAGGTAAAAGCAGTATAATGGTAACCTGGTACACAGAGGTTCCTCTTTCTCAGATTACGTCACCCCACAAGGCTTTTGTTTCCCAGCGTCAATTACAACTCTGTCCCAAGCTGAGTGAAACGTAATAAGCTCTTAGCAAATTTGAAGAAGAGTCGTTGGTAAAATTGAGAACTATATTCAGTTGTTTGCTTTGCTTTAGGGAAAAATTGTTTCCCACATGACTTACAAACAAATTCAACTTATGAACAAGCCTACAGAACGGATCTTGTTCTTAATTTTGGGACTGCCTGTCTAGAAAAACTCACTATTGTCTTGAAGGTGAATGAAATAAAAACAGTCTTAGTTGGACCACTCCATGCAAGTAAATCTTCACCGGTGGATTTACTTGCATGGAAGACACTGTGTGGATCAACATCCTGTTGGCTTTCTCAGAGATTAAATTGGAGAGTGAGATGCAGGAAGAGAATGGAAATGTTTGGATAAGGGGGAATGAAGCACAGATAGGAGGGCCAGTATAACAAAGTCAGCAAAACAGAGGTTGGGGAATGCAACTGTGAGGTGGAAGTTGGGAAATTCGAATGGGAAGGACAGCAGGCACAAAGCTCATGAGGAAAAAGACACACAAAAAAGAAATAATTTGGTGAAGGATGAGAAATAGGTAGCCTTTGAGAAATTAGGTGAAATTGAGAGACAGAGAAAGGAAAGGGCATTTGAGGAACCTAGAAGATTGAAAGCATGGGAGCAAAGAGATAAAAGAAACAAACTATTTCTTTTGTTTATTGTTTTCTCTCTCAAAAAGAAAAATGAAATCAAGCCAATTGTGCATTTTGTGGTGTGAAATTAAACATGGTCAACCTTTTGTCTCTCCAACTCCTTACAATACTTCTCTATTTCTGTGTACATTCTCAGGACTACTGCTTCTAGTAAAAACCTCAGGACCACCTATAGAAATTGTAATACAGGTTGCTCATTTCTCATCCGAACTTTAAAATACTCAAAAATTGTTCGAATAGGTGGATGCGATAGTGATACCTTTGCTTTCTGATGACTTGATGCACACAAATTTTGTTTTACATGCAACTCTATTTAAAATATTGCATGTAAAATTATCTTCAGACTATGTATACAAAGTGTATATGAAACAGACATGAATTTCAGACTTGGATCCCATCTCCCAAGATAACTCACTCATTTAGGTCAGTGGTTCCTAACCTGTGGACCACCAGTGGTCCCCAAGAACAAAAATATGGTCCTAAGCATTACTACACCGTTGCCTCAAAACCACGTGGTGATTAGAGTGACTGGTCTTGCGAAACCCTCTTATAGTGCCGGGACAATGGGGTTGTCATGTCAGGAAGGAGAGCAGCTGACTACCCATGAAAGATCACTACTACCGCATCATATCTAGATTATTAAATATGGTTTTCCGTGGGCAAGCATATGGTGACTACTGGATGGCATACATATGTACTGTATCAGAAACTAGAGCTGATATGGTCTATTCAATGCAATTTTTTGAATCAGCACCCCAAATAACCAAACCAAATCTAAAGTTGACCAAAAATTAATTCATAACCCTTTTGGTGCTAATGTTGGAGAGTGGTCCCTGGTCAAAGTGGTCCTTGGTCAAGTGGTCTTTGGTCAAAAAAAAAAGGTTGGGAACCACTGATTTAGGAGCTTCCAGTTTGGTATAGTGATATAAAATTGCATCTAACTTCCCATCTAACATACACAGGTCCGCAAGAATAGAGTGCTTTAGGTGTATATTTTGGCATGGCATTAGGTTGAACTAGATGGCACTTGCAGTTTTCTCCAGTACATTTAATTTTTCCTGCCTAGGCATAGTAACTTACATTGATTCCTGCTGAAAATTTCCAAGGTTTGACTCAGATCTTCTAACATCTTAAGGCCAGTTTGAATTCCGATTCTGTCTATTGAGTTATTATTTACCTCCCCACACAGTATTTGATGTAATCTGCAAATTTGATAAGCATGCTTTCCAGCCCATCATTGTTGTTTCAAAAGATGATGAGCAATACCTTTATATTTTAATGAAATTACCAATATCTGCTGCCTAAATAAAGTCCAATTTTCTTTTCTTAGTTTGCTTCTTTTTGAGACAACACTTCTACACACCTTCAATTTAACTTGTTTCCTTTGGGTAATCTTTTCACACACTGCTTCAGTTTGTAATCCTCTTCATTCCTTGTCACATGCATATTAAACCTTCTATAAATCAGAGATTTAAAATTCTAAAACAAACTTTCCCCTTTCCTCTGTAAATACCTGAGACCCTCACCATGAATTACTAATAGCTCTTTTGTCCTCTGCCAGTCTGGAATGTCTTGTGCCAACCTTTTACATTCATATCGACACTTGACTCTCCCTCCCACACTGTATAGTGTTAATAGAGGCATACGCTGCATTACAAATTTATTATTTATCTAGAGAAAAAGTAATAGCTTGAAAAAATATCCATAGTGTAATGTTATAGAAGGCCTTGTTCAATGTGTTGTGTTTTTCTTCCTTAAGCCCTGTGCTAACATAATTTTCTTGACTTTGTTTAAACATGGTAAAACTTATGCAGTTGGGAATGACTGGAATAGCCTATCATGGTGCAACCAAAACTGAACTGGTAATATTA